TGCCTTTTTTTTTTTTTTTTGTATTTTTACCATTTCAAGTGACATATATCTTATATAACCTGACCTGTCTGAAGGCATCATTGATTAAGACTGACACTAATAAATGTCACATCCTTGCACAAGACAGATGAAAACACAGATCCACTGCTATTTTGTTTTAAAACCCAAATCAAAACTTCAGGGTTTCTTTTTTTTCCCTGCCCTTTCCTTCAATAGGAGCAATTCCCAAGACAAGGGGTTTTCAAACTTTTTAAGGAGTGTAGCCCTTCTGGGTACACTTCTGGTGGAGTGGGGTGGTGGCAGCCAGATGCAGAGCTGGCAGGGGTGGGTGGTGGTGGCTGCTGGATATGGAGTGAGGGGGCTTGCACATGGCAGCAGTGGCGTGGGGTGGTGGATGGCAGCCACCGCCACCGCATGCAAGCTCCCCGCCATCATGTCCAGCCGGCTGGGTGGTGCCTGTGTGGCCCGCAGGGGGGAGCCACTGCCTTTGCCCCACCCCCCGGCTCTGCTCCTGGGAGGCAGCAGCATGGGGTGGTGGGTGGCAGTGCTCCATCCCTGCCCACCCGCATGTAGCCCTTAGTCCCTTTTCCATGTCTCCCGGGGGTATGCATACCTCTGGTTGACAACCCCTGCCCAAGACTAATAAACCTAAGGCTAGGTTTCCTCAGCCTAGAGTTACTCAGGTGGCACAAAAGGTAAGTCAGTGCAGAATGTGGTCACTGACTTTCCATCCATACAGGTCCTATGCTGTCTTCCTGTTCCAGCCTTCCTTCTGCTTCCAGCTCCATTTAAAACAAATGTGGCAGTGTTGGAGTGATGTTGTAGCTGTAACGTTGCAGGAAATAAATGAGGAGCAAGGGCATTTTGATGATACCTGTTACTGGACCAACTGTGCAGTTGGGAAAGATGTTAGACATGCTTTCAGGCACAAAGGGCAAAAAAAGTTGTGTGCGCCTGAAAGATTTTCTAACAACTGTCCCAACTATACAGTTGGCCCAATAAATGATATCACCAGAAAACATTAAAAAAATAAATGGTAGTAGGTCCAGGCCCTTAGGAATCAGACCAAAATCTATAGAGCATGTTGTTAAGGGCATCTGTTGGTCATATAGATGAGAAGCTGAGATATTATCTGTGATACAGGTAGTGGTTCCTTCCTTATAGTGGATTATTTTTAAGATTTCAAACGTAAAACAATACAACCTCCTCCCCCAGTGGCCGTGTCTACACAAGTGGCAGGCTGCACAGTTGTCACTGCACAGTCATTTAGTACTTGCACAATGAAGCACTAAATGACTGCACCATAACTGGCATTACTACACAGCAGCATCCCTGTCATTTTATTTTCAGATGCTACTGCACAGTAGCATCACATCACAGTTAGTGCCTGCCAATGCTACTGCACAGTAGTGTCTTGTGTAGACGCACCTAGTGTTTAAGTTAATTATAGGGTAACTGAAGTTTCAGCTTGTCATCAAGTTTTCTACGAAAATGCGTTTGCTTAATCATTCATTACACTCCTCCACCCACACTTGTTTCAAGCCTGGAGAGAAAAATAAAACCTACCCCAGACTATAGGTAGTAGCATATCTATTATTATCAACATTATTCTCACATTTTTTACTGACACCTCTACCAGAAATATACACTCTTATTCAAATACAGAGTTAACCAGGTTCCTTAGCACAGCAATTACCTTTTTCCTTCAATGTAAAATTTTGAACTGAGTTTTCTGTAGGTATTTTCCCATTTGGTATGACATTACCATTTCTCTGAAAAAAAACAAACCCAAACAATTTAAAGTTACTACGAGTTGCAATAGATACTTAATAACACCATGTAGGTGTAGAAGGTCTGCTTAAGAGCAGTTTTCTACTTATGAAATCACCAGTGATCACCATGATAATACTGAAATAAATAGTGATGAAGCAATTATAGATATTTGTAGACTTTATTTACCCTTGGTCCTTGCATAGAATTCCCATTAATACTAATGTGAACAGGAAACTCCAGGAGTAGACTGTTGTAGAGTTTCCCATCTAGAAGCCTATAATAAGTAACTTGGGTATCTCTCTCCTGCTGTCCTCTCCACACCAGCAGATCCTCTGGACTCCATGTAACTTCTGAGAAGTCACATAACCTGCATATGAATATGTTCTGGACTTTGCTGACCTGCTGCTCATTCTGGTATGGCATTAGGCAGTTGAAGCTCCCTTGCTTTTTTCAGACCTAGAGTCCCCTCACACACAAAAGAAGGCTCCTGCAGTACAGAGTAAGTAGCTGGCATATTTCACAGTATGGGTGAAGGTCAGATGCCACATCCACTGTTGCCCCCTGAGCCAAGCAGTTCCAGATATCAGTCTCTCACCATGCTTCAGCACTGAATCCAGCACATACCCTACTGAAGAGATGCCACAGGAAAGAGACCAATACTGGGTCAGGTAAGCTCTCCAGGCCTTCCCAGACATAGGTCCCAGGAAGCCCTTTCCTCTCAATTTGCATAAATGGTGCCAAAGTAAGACCCTAAGTGTATGCCCTTACCTTTCTTTGGCCACGGTCTCTCTTGTGGATTTTATTGTGCTTTTTGGAACGGTTTATTCCAAGTTTGGTACCCTTGAAAGAGTCCAAACGCTTTCTCATTGTTCTGTGGAATATCTCCTTGTCTTGTTTTTCATCTTCATTCTGAATGATTTCATGTCGACTGTACAGGTGTCTATGCTGTAACCAGGAAGATAAGACAATTTTTATTTATTTAGAAATGCAGATAGTTTGCTTTGGTACTGACAAAACCAAGTGGCTACAACACCCAGTTAACTGCAAGCCTGAACACACTAAAAAGTCTCTGATTGTTAGCAACTCCCCTTACTTCCTTCTATGCGAGACTGCGATAAGTCACAAAGCAGAGGTTATGGTAATTTAAATAAACTGAAACTCATTCAAATTAAACACATTATGTACAATGGTTGGAGTCACTTCAGACTTCCTCGTTTCACAAAATCTTTCACATTCATCCATCCAACCTTTTTCACACCCTTCCATTCCATGCAGGCTGGTAACAACCAACTAACACAACATACTTTGGGCCACTCTTAAATTCTTCTGGAATCTGAGAGATGCCTATAAGAGATGACTGCTTGCGTGAGGAAAGAGATCCAGGATCATCACCGACTGTCAGTTAGTGGTTGATCTTAAGGATTTGTCCTTTTGGTTTCAGTTGCCCAACAATTTTCTGTGCTTAGTTTCTTATGGTTTTAGGATGAAAACATGTTCCTAACTGAACATGCTCTTACCTCTTGCCTGGGCTTGTACAGGTACTGCTGAAGTGTGTGGTGAGTGACAGTATCCTCTGTATCTCGGATGCTTTTCCTCCTCTGCTCTAAGGCTTGCATATCAAGGCAAACTGAACCAGCTTTTTCTCTCCTAAAACAGATGATCCAAAACGACGTTTTTATAGGTCAGTAATTAGGGAGGAAATGTATGCATTGCAACATATTCAAACAATATGGAGGAAGCAAGAAAATGATAAGAACAAGTGAATGGCATCAGGGGGCCAAATACAGACCCTCTGAAATCAGCAGGTCAACTCAGGAAATAAAGTGAGGTTCTTTGGCACATGTACATGTGCATTAAGGTGTTTTTCCTGATCACATTAAAGTTAGTATCTCCAATGTGAGGTACTAAACAAATTCACATTAGGCTGCCTTAATGCACGGTAACAATTGTGCATGGTTTTTAGGTGACGCTTAATGCTCAGTAGCCTACTTTACTGTGTGTTAGCATAATAGCATGGTTTTTTATGTGACACTTTAATGTGCAGTAAAATAAGCTACTGGGCATTAAAGCACATATGTAGATGCACCCAGTGTGAATAAGGATAAAGCAAGCTGGCTCAGTGTATGGCTGGTAATTCACTGTTACTGGGCAAGCACATTTAAAAAAAACTACACATGGTGCTTCATGATGAAAAGATTACACTAAAAAAATGGAATTTCCAAAACAATGAACTTTCTCTAGAAACAGTCAAAATGGGAAAAAAAATGAACCATTTTGAAAACGAACATTTTAATATTTTTTCTTAGAGAAAGGGGGCTAACAAGGACATCCATAGGTCTAGTCCAACCCCCTGCTGAAGGTAGGATTATCCTTATCTAAACCATCCTGAACAAGTGTTTGTCTAACATATTCTTAAAAACTTTGCAAACAACCCTCTCACAAATCTACCAGACAAAATGCCCAAATTGTCAAAAAAACAACCTCTAATTGAACACAGGTAAAGCAGGGGGCACTGTCAATGTCCTACCACTGCAAAGACAGGAAGTAGCTGTTAAATATAGGAACTCCTCAACTTACAATGTTTCAAGTTACAACATTTTGCACTTACAACATTTATCAATTGACACCGTTTCAACTTTATGCCAGTTTCAACTTTACTATGCTCGATCCAATGTGACGCCAAGCTAGTGAACAAGTTTGCTGCATTGCTCATCTCCCTGGAGAACATCTGTCCAAACTTTCTTGGACACTTTCTTTAAGAAAGTGGACAAGACTCCAGAAAAACCTACAGCCAAGACTCCTGAGAAGACTCC